GTTTATTAAAAAAAATCATGTTTATTAAGAAAAATCAAATTACATAATTGTAGCAAATCATGTTTATTAAAAAAAATCAGATTACATAAAAATCGGGCCAAATTTCAAATTAAAACTAAAAATCTTTTATCATTTGATTACTACTTTCTTTAATTCGAACTTTTTTAAACATAAACAAAGTCATATAATATTAATTTGAAATTCAAAATGAAATCGGATTGTAACATTCTAAAAACTTGGGTTTTGTCTAATTATCTAGAATACAAATTTGAAATTGATTGAATACACTTACAAAATAAATAATGATTTCATATACTTACAAAATATCGTATATTTTCTGCTAAATAATTTGATCGATTTATTTAAGACTATCTACAATCTTAATATAATTTGTGGCGATAGACGATGTACCAAAAGACCAAATAAATAATTTTGTGTACAAAGTTGTGTTTAATAATATATATAACGTTACATTCTTTTTTTTTCAATATATGTATTTTACGTTTTTCCAGTTATCCAAATTTAACTGCTTACCTTAATAAAACTAGCTCGTGCGTCGCACGGGTACCACACTAGTCTAAATTAAGATGATAAAATTTTCTGTATTGTTGTGAACCTGATATGAATTGAGAACCTCATGCTGGAAGGTTTATATAAATGTGCAAATTGCTGGAAAATTTAAAAACCGGACCCAATTAATTAATGCTGAAATATAATAATTTTTTTACCAGCTCTTTATTTATGGTTGAACTTTGTATAAATGTTTTTTATTGATTTAAAAAATGAGAAATGCTATTGTCCCGTTACGGTACCATCCCGTCAGATGTTTTAATCGTTCGGTCATCTAATTACACGTAGATCTAACGGTTAAAATACCGGACGAGATAGTACCGTAACGGGACCGTAGCATTCCCTTTAAAAAATATACTTTTATAAGTTATAAGTTCTAATTACATTTTCCACAAAAAAAAAAATGTCACCAAGCATTTACACTTCTTCTTCTACTACTTAACTGACTAAATAATATAAATATAAATATAACACAAAAACAATAATAAATAACACATTACCACAATTCATTTCAGACTCCAGCAATTCTCGAAATAGTGAAGTTCCAAGGACATGATTTGTTTAACTTTTGTCCTTCAATCAGAATAAAATAAAATAAAATAAAAGAATTGAACCAATGTATACAGTTATAAATAAAATCTCCAATATAATTAATTTCATCAATATTTCAAAAAAAAATAAAAAAAAAATCATGAAACAAATAAACAAAATTAAACAAACTAAAAATAGAATCATGAGGGCTTCCTTAATCAATTTCCTAGCTAGAGCCGGCTGGCCGTCCCCACCCCCACCCCCATCCCCCTTGCAATCTCCCGGAGCGCATACTTCTTCACCTTCCCTGTGGCAGTCTTCGGCAGCTCCTCCACAAACACCACCGTTTTCGGCACCATGAACCCCGGCAGCCTCCCCTTACAATACTCCACCATCTCCCCTTCCGTCAGCCTCCTTCCCCCCTTCTCCCTCAAGCT